CTGAGACAGCCTACACTATGTATCTCTCTAAATAAATCTACCTTTACTCAAAAAAAAAATTTACTATCTTTTTCTTGCCAATTTTTTTCTTTTGAGTGGGAGGTAATTAGGTTTACTTACTTATTTTTAGAGGAGGTACTGGAGATTGAACCCAGGACCTTGTGTATGCTAAGCATGTACTCTACTACTTGAGCTATACCCTCCCCGCTACTATCACTCTTTAAGAGAAAATGTGTTGACCTTGGCCTAGTCTATCCTGACTGTGATAGAACTAGATGTCTTTGTGGCTCCTACCTGTTTTGGTCACAACACAGACAATGTTTATGATAGCCAGCGTCCAAGATGGTGCTGGTGATCCCCATCTCTTGGTTTTCACATCCTTGTGCAGTTTCTTGTCACACTGAATAAGGGCTGACTTGTAACAACCAATGTGGAAGTGATGGAGTATGACTTCCAAGCCTAGGTCATGAAAGACACCATAGCTTCCCTCTCCCTCTCTCTGAAATCACTCTGGAGGAGGCCGCCTACCATTTTCTGAGGACATTCAAGATGCCCTGTGGAGAAGTCCATGTTGGGAGACTGAGCCTTCTGCCAACAGTCATGTAAGTCAAGCCTTCAGATGACTGCAGCCTTGGTCAACATCTTAACTGAGTTCAAATCACCCAGTTAAGCTGCTCCTGAATTCCTGACCCACAGAAATTATAGTATAATACATGTGTGTTGTTTTAAACTGCTAAGTCTTGGCATAATTTGTTATGCAGAAATAATGAATGCAGTGTTCAAATGAAAAAGTGTACTGGTACTCTGTATGCTTATGGATATATTTGCCCATAGGATTTTATACACACACACCCTGAGAAGTGGGAAATTAAAAAGGAGAGTTAGGAGAGAGAAAGAAAGGAAGTAGGGAAAGAAGAACATGTTAAACAATAAAGAAAAACCATGGTGGGGAGTAAGTCCTCCTCTGCTTCTTCCTCTGGTTCGTACCCGTGTTCCAGATGCAGGACAATGCTAGTTACCTGGCCAAATCTTATTTTCTGAGGCTGTAACTTGCTTTAGGCCTTCAGTAAATATTTAATTATCAGCTTACAAATAAGTACTGACCTCTATAGTTTGGATCTACACGAAATTAGGGTAAGACTAGAAGAAAAATGAACTATCTCCTTATGATCCCCTCCAAAAGGGTAAGAAAAGGCCTCAGAACAAATATAGTTTCTCTTTTTATATCATTTTTGTTTAGAAACCACATAACTCTGTTGTGGATGGGAGGGCTGTATGTGCTAGACCATGTGCTGTGAATAATCCCTATTGGGCTGTGGAATTGTATTACCCCATATTATCAGTTATCTTAGATGGTAAACCTATAAAGTTGCAATCTGCAAATTAGGCCCCTGATGCTGCTGCTTTTAGGCTCGAACTGGACAGTATCAGAACTAGTTCTTTAGGCCTGGGTAGTCTAGGCATACTTACTCTGTGTAGATGTTTATCATGCTTATTAAACCGTAAATCATAAACATAACCAAAACTAGAAACCCATGTCTGATGAACAGTTGTATTCATGAAGGGACAAAATATTTGGGAATTCCTGGAAAATCAAGTATGCTTGCTGGACATAAAGATGACTGGGAGTGGGGGGTTGATGTTGAGAACACCAGATTTTGTGAGAGAAGAGAATGTGTGTTCAGACAATATAGATTTCAAACGTGAAAGAGAAGGCTGGTTCTTTTTAGAATAGTGAAGAACAATTGTCAAATATTTTACTGGCAATCTTATTGTCATATATTTAGGCTATGTAAACATATACTTGAGTAATCATTTCTTAACTCAGAATAAATGCAGAAGGGTTGGTTTGCCTAGATTGGGAGGTTAACCTTGGAGCCATCTGGATTATTTCTTCAGGGAGGAGTTTGGCCCAGAACCTTCAGCACGAGTTATTTTATTAAAAATGTAAACCTCTGTGGTGGTATCTGCATTTCAACCAAGAAAATACCACATAATGTATCTAACTGTCTACAGGGAAGATCAGCAGGTATTTTTAGTCAAGGTGCCACCATCATCACTCCACAAATTGTGTTTGAAGCAGCCTAACTCCAAAGAAGCTACTTGTAACATAATTAAGTGGACTTTTTCCACAGTTAACAAAGCTAAATCTCAAGTGAGTTCTAAGTTTTATCTGAATTTCATCGAGGAACGTTATGGTTACAGCTTTTAAAAAAGTAATTTCCTTTGATTATCTTTCCCATTTTTACCCCTTCCAGGTTGCAGAGAAAATTGAGCTAGAAGTGTTTCTTCCTCTAGGGCACATTGCTATTTCTTGCCTCATCTCACTACGACCTGACACAGACCCACAGCTCACAGCGTCATAGGATTTGCTCAGCTTGTGACCAGGTATAGCCAATTCTATTTCATAGCAGCTGAAACTGAAAACTTCATTTTTTACTTCAACATCCTGTTTTTTCATGATTATTATAGGAGTGTAATATTTTTTCAGTGGTTTCATTGATAAGATACCAGAAGCACAAGGAACAAAAGAAAAAAAAATAAAATGGACTTCAACAAAATTAAAAACTTCTGTATTGCAAAGACCACCATCAAGAAAGTGAAAACCACAATCCACAGAATGGGAGAAAATATTTTCACATTGTATATTTGATAAGGGACTCACATCTGGAATAAAGAACTCCTAAATCTCAGTAATAAAAGACAAGTAACCCAACTCCAAAAAATGGCAAAAATCTCTGAAGAGAAATTTCTCCAAGGAAGATAGAAGAATGGCCAAAAACACACAAAAAGATGCTCATCACCATTAATCATTAGGGAAAGGCATATTAAAACCGCCATGAGACACCCACCTCACACCCACTAGGATGACTGTAGTCAAAAAAACAGAAAATAACAAGGATGTGCAGAAATTAGAGCCCCCATACACTGCTGGCTGGAATGTGGCTGGTGCCACTTTGTAAAACAGTCTGGCAGTTTCTCAAAGGGTTAAAGATAAGAGTTAACATTTGCCCTGGCAATTCCACCCAAGAGAACTGAAAACGTAAGTCTACCCAAAAACATTTACACAAATGTTCATAGCATTTTATTCTTAATAAACAAAGAGCAGAAACAGAAGTCCATCAACTGATCAATGGATAAACAAAATATGGAATATCCATACAATGGAATGTTACGCAATATAAGAGTTAAGTAGTGAAACAAGCTACAACACAGAAGAACCTTGAAAACATGAGGCTAAATAAAGAAGCTGGTCACAAGGACCACATATTGTATGATTCCATTTCTATGAAATGTCCAGAGAAGGCAAATCTCTAGAGACAGAACATGGAATAGTGGCTGCCTACGGTTGGGGAGAAGAGGAGTGACTGCTAATGGATATGGGGTTTCTTGTTTGAGTGATGAAATATTCTAAAATTCTGGTGACGGTTGCAAAACTCTGTGCCTATACTAATATACATTGAATTGTTCACTTTAAATAGGTAAATTTTGTGGTGTGTGAATTTTATTTCCAATAAAGCTGTTATTTTAAAAAACAAATTCTTCCATACAGATGACCATAGATTCAAATCGGGGCCAGATCAAGAAGACACGAAGCAGTGCTGTATTTTTCTAGTATCTTTTTTTTAAACCAATTTCATAAACTACCTGAAATCGTCAATTTTTACCTTTGTGAGTTTTACGCACAGTTACCATGATGTGATTGTGAAAATCAATCAGAGAAGCACTAGAAAAATGCTAGATTTATCTTACAGGTTAGCTGTGGATAATTTATTTAGAAGGGTGGGTCCAATTCTTTTGGGTCATGGATGAAAAAAATGTCATTGCAAGTTATCTATTTTGATTTTACCCAGTGAAGAGCAGTAGTTTGGTGACCCAATAGAGTTCTAAAGTTTCATCACAAAGAGTAGTAGCTCATAAAGGATTATGTAGGCTTTGCTTTTGTTGAGTGTTGACTTTACTTATTTATGTAACTGGGTTTTAATCGGCGCATCGGAGCTCTGAACAATGCGACTCAACGCTGTCAAAGACGTGTGATTCAAAGACATGTGCGTCCGTTCCACTCATATTTTGAGGAAGACACAGAACCACGTAAGGGACAGGTCCTAGGTCTGAGGTCCTGAGGGATCCCCACATGAACTGTGTTCTCAAAATAGGGAGAAAATGATCCACGGAGCAGCTTCAGCCGTTTTTCTCCCAAGTCACAGTAGCAACGCTCCAAGAAAGCATAGATCTTCTTCGGAAATAGAGGACCGCCCTCCCCCATGCGCACGTGGCGAGGTGGGGAACAGAGAGCCACGTGCGACCAACGTGCACCACCTTCTGCTGCTCGCTGTTTAAATTCCAGGTAATGGAGATGAATTCTCGCGGCAAGATACGGCGGGACAGACCCTTTGAGGGACTGCCAATCTGTGAGTTAGGGATAAAACCACAATGAACTGAAAAGTGAATCGCCCCCTGTCCTTCCAACATACACTTTCCTTTTCCTGCTTCACTCCGCCCCACGTTCGCTTACTCTCCGCCCACCGGCTCCGCCCGGTCTAGCGCCCTGCCCGAGTCTGAAGCGGACTGGAACCCGGAAGAGCGATTCCATCCGGGTGCTTTTTCGGGGACGGCATAAGGGCGTGGCTTTATGACGACTGCGGGGGGAGGGGCGAGGGGCCTGTAGGGACTGGGAGCCCTGACGGGGTGGAGGGAGAATGGGTCGCCCATGTCCACGCCCCATCCTGGGCAATAGGGGAGTCTCTATTCTCAAACTCCCCTATGAAGCTGGAATATTAACTAAGAAGTTTAAATCCATAGAGTCACCCTTTTAAAAGCTTCCTCACACCCTCTGCTCCTGCGCTTCTTTCCTCTCTCCTTGATAACCCTGCAAACCTTCCCATCTCCAGCCTCTTCTCCCCCTTCGTTCCTGCGCAGATGGTGGCGGCCCGGGGGATGCGCAGCCGCAGAGAGTTCGGGGCGGTGCCGGTGAGGGGCGGGTGACGCAGCGGCCGTCGCTGCCATTTTAAGTTGTTTGTTCTCGCTTCTCTTCCCAAACGCGACTCTGCCCCGGACCCGGGAGGCGCCTAAGGCTGCCGCCGCCGCTTCCGCAGCCACCGGTGGGGGGCAACGAGGCTGTGCCACCGCGGACGCTCACCCTCCGCTTCGGGTTTTCCCCCATCCGAGTCTCCTCGACCTTCTTGCCTGAGAGCCGGAGCCCGACCCGTGGGGAGAAGAGAGACTCCAGAGCAGATGCTTGAACTGAAATAACTTTATCCTGGGGGGTTTACTTCGCTGACAGACCCCCTTAGCGCAGGGCTCCCTTCCCCTCCCTCCCCTCCCCCTCCGCCGCCAGTTCAAATCCGACCCCCCTCTTCCTCCTCGTTCCTTCCTCCTCTTTTTCTCTCGCCGTCTCCGCGTCCTTCCCCTCCGCCGCCGCCCGGGGCGCCGAGCCAGACTATGGGTCCCAGGTGGGGGCTGAGCGGCGGCAGCAGCGCGGGCGGCCCGGTCACAGTGCGCACTGCAGCGGGGATGGAGGGGCTCAGTTGGCTGGTGGTTTTCTCTTGACATGGCTCCTGCCCGTGCTGCGAGCAGCGCCCCCGCCGCCGCCTTCTCTTCCGCCGCCGCCGCCGCCACCGCTCCGCCCGCAGGCTGCGGCTAGAGGGCCCGAACCCCGCCCGAGAGTCGGTCAGTGAGTCCCGGTCTCCGCGGGGACAGGGAGGGGATTTCCCCGTCACCCACCCCGCCCCAGCCGCCTCGAGTCCACCCTCTGCCCTTTTGGGAGACCAACTAACGACCCCGCCCTAAACAATCCAAACTCGGGAAACATGGTCTGTTCAACGTGAGAGCGAGCTGAATCCGCAATCCGGGAACTTAGTTTTTTTTTCTTGGGGGGTGGGGTGGGCATACTTTAAAAAGTAATTTAATATTAACGCAACTATTTTCTTTTCTTCTCACTGATCCTTCCCATTTATTCTTTCCCGCCTCCTCTACCCGGGCGGGGATTGTTTCCACGATGAAATGAGTGAAAACCCGAGTGATCCAGTGTCTCCCGTGGTGCGAGTGAGTCGCTGCCGCTGAAGGCAAAGGGTGGGGGTGGGACCTGGGGGGTGGAAGACAGGTGGTCCCCGGGCACGGCCTGGGATTTGGGAAAAGAACCCGCCACCTTTGCCTCAGCCATGCTCACAAGAAGATAAGTCGCGCTCCCCACGATCTTGCACGGGGGCAACTCATAGGGAAGGCTCCCTCGGGGAATGTAGGACTCATTGCAGGACTGGGGGTGTTGGGGTCCCGGGCATTAATCAGGTCTAACCACAGAGCCGGAATCATTATATCGTATTATATACCCCCTTTCCCTCTGCCATCATGATTCTCCTTGGCAGCAGCATTAGCAGCCGCCTGCGGGTGAAAATGTGGGTGATGGGGAAGTTGGTAATGACTCCGCTGTTTTTTCTCATGGCTCCTTTGGGCAACAGCTGCCCGCCCCCGGTATACACTGTAGTTGATTGCAGGGAAACCCTGTACCTCTCCCCTTCCTTCTCTACCGATTTTGCACTTTTCTCTTTGCTCACCACCAAGTGTAATCAATAACAAGCACTGACAATACATAGCAATAGTGAAATCTGAAATAACTAAGAATTAGGTACTACAGCCATGGATCTGGCTGGGTAAAATCCAATTGGATATTTCAGTTTCATTCACCTACCCTGTTTTTGGTGTTTTGGGGGGGTTATTTTGGTGGTATTTTTTTTTCCTTTTTTTTTCTTTTTTGGTATTTGGAAAGCAAGGATCACACTTCCCCCTTCCCACTCCTTTTCATAATCCTTTCTCTAAAAAAAGGGGAAAAAAATCCGGATGGATTTTAAGGATTGGACTGGTGTCAGCTGTGTTTTATTGCACACCTAAATCCTGATAATAGTTTTTTCATTCCCCCACCTTTATTTTGGCAGTTAAGCCAAATGTGTTTTCCAAAAAATTAGTTCAAGTATTTTCTGCTCTTTCTTTCCTTCCTCCCCTTCCTTTTTCCCATCCAACCCCAAACGTTATTGTCCAGACATGACTGGACAGCAGCTTTTGTTTCTTGCCCCTGTAATATGACAGTCTGCTAATATTGCCAGAAGGTGCAGTTTTTGGGTTACAGTCGTGATTTTAGCTATTCAATCATATTAGCAGGAAAAAAAATGACTTGTTTCTGTTGTACTTGAGTCTTAAGAAAAAGTGCCCATAGTTTAGTGACAATTTCCAAAGGCTTTAGTACCACCTGTATTTCAAAAATGGGGGACCCAAACTCCCGGAAGAAACAAGCTCTGAACAGACTACGTGCTCAGCTTAGAAAGAAAAAAGAATCTCTAGCTGACCAGTTTGACTTCAAGATGTATATTGCCTTTGTATTCAAGGAGAAGGTAATTTAAAGTTCTTAATATGAATTAGCACAAGTGATTTTTGTAAGTGTATAAAGTTGTTAGGTTAAAGAGTCGTTGGCAAAAGTCTACATCTGTCTACTATAACTTTGACCCTTACGGTTAATTATCTGAATAGATGGAGATGCGGGGTAGTGAATGGAAGGCTTGAGTACTGATTGGTTTCGAAATACTTAATTCTAAAGCTTAGTAGGATCCACTTTTAGTTAACAGGGAGTGGATAGCATTGTAAAACTCTTCATTTATGTTTTACAACAAATTTCATTTATGTAGAGTTACATAGAGAACTTGATAATTGAATTTAAAGATTGTCTGAAGTGTTACAGGATGTTTGAAAGTAGTAAATTAGAATCAAAATGTTTATGTGCAAAAAGCAGTCTTCATCTCCATGTTGTAGATACTTTTTCTCATGGTACAGTTAATGAAAGAATAAATAGAATGAAATAGAATGCACTTTTAAGTTTTAGGAGCAATTTTTTAATGGTTACTTTAAAAGGTTAATTTAATGGTTAATTAAATTAGTATTTAGAATTAATTAATTAATAAGTGTTTAGAATTGCAATTTATTAAAATTCAGAATGACCAAAAAGTTAAAAAATTTTTTTTGGTCTTTATCAGTGTTAATTCTACGGTTAAGTAGCAAATAATGAATTATGAGTAGTCAAGGAGAACATGATAAAAGCAGGGGTTTTTTGGGGTTTTTTTGTAACTTAAAATAATGGGTAATTTCTTATATAATTGATCTCTGTGTAACCTGAGGTTAGATTATAAATAGTAAGGAAATACTGCTTTGATTTTGTGCTTAAATTATGAGCTAATTTGACATCAGAAACATTTTAGTGTGATATGTATGTAATAATATTTGAATGTTTCCCAGGTTTTTTCCCCACTCTTAAGGTTATTAATATTAAGAATGCTCTTAGCTGCTAGAGTATAGCATCGTAAAGTGGTTTCAAAAGTGGTTTGTTTTGAATTGATTGTCCCAATATTGGGTATTATCACAGATTTACTCCTTTTTTTCTTTCTTTTATTAATAAGTTGACTGCAGAATTGGTTAGATTTTAGTTGAAGCTATTAAACTTAAGTTCACTAGGAAAAAATACAAGATACTAGTGAGATTAGATCTTTATGTTTAATCTGTTAGATGCCCCAAATTATATTATCTAGTTATTTTAACACCTATGAAAACCTGCTTTTCTATGACTGGACAGTATCCAGGCAGTTGTCCTGAGCAGCTCTTGAATTTTATAACCTAAATTGATGATAAGCCCTTGGTCTTAACTAAATTTTTAGGTTTGTAGACATTTTTTCTCCTGTTGAATATTGACACTTGTAGTTATATAGTATCCAGAAGAAGTAATGGAAATTGACCCTTTCAAGGAGTAAAATAGTTAATTTGTCTGAAGAGCTTTGTTTTTAAACTGAGATTTTAATTTAGCTTATAGCTACATAATTTAATTTAGTATGTAGAACCAGTTGAATGAAATTACATCGAGAGTAAATCACTGAGTTGTTTTTGTTTCTCACAGCATTTAGGAAATACTGTCTAAGTATTTTCTATGGATACCATAATGCTGTAAAAGCATGCAGTTAAACATTCTGATAATAGCCTGTTTGTGTGTGGCTGGGGAGTAAGAGGTTTGGGGGAAGAACCGAAGGTTCCACCTATTTAAAAATCTGTTTTCAGTACCAAAATTACTTCAGTTAAGGATTATGCTGAGTTAGAATAAAGATACATGACATTGTAATATGAACTCTGGGTGTTAAGAGATGGTGTGCTACTGGTGGGTTAATACACTTTTTTTTTTTTAGAAGAAAAAATCGGCACTTTTTGAAGTGTCTGAGGTTATACCAGTCATGACAAATAATTATGAAGAAAATATCCTGAAAGGTGTGCGAGATTCCAGCTATTCCTTAGAAAGTTCCATAGAGCTTTTACAGAAGGATGTGGTACAGCTCCATGCTCCTCGATACCAGTCTATGAGAAGGGTAAATTCTGTTTTTAAGTCTTTGTTTTGTTTGGGGGGTGGTAATTAGGTTTAGTTACTTGTTTTGTTTGTGGGTTATTTTGAGGGGGGGATAATTAGGTTTATTTATTTATTTTTTAACAGAGGTACTGGGGAATTGAACCCAGGATCTCATGCATGCTAGCCACATACTCTATTCACCTCTTATTTTTCAGGCTTGATTTTGGTAGATTTTTGTGACTTGAGCTTGCAGTTTTTTTCCCCTCTCTCCAAAGAATAGGTGGTTAACTATAGTCATGAATCTCCTTCAAAGTTGAATTTAAATAAAATGTGGATAACTGTCTTAGGTGTTATGTTGTAATGGTGTACATTACTGCTATGATTAATGTTTTATATTACTGTTCAGTGGGGTTTCCTTTTTCAAGGGAGAAAGAGCATCATGCCCCTTATAAATAAGAAACTTGAAGGTATTGATGCCAGCCTTCTAAACTTTGGCAACTCATTGAAAGTTAGTCTGGGCAAACTTGAACAAGAGTTCTCCATAATTAGTGGGCTCAGGGGCAGGCTGAAGATAACCATGTACTGGTCTGGAAGGGGTTAATTGGTCTCAATAATCTGCATTTAACAAAAACAGCATTTTAGTTGTAATAAAAAAGTAGTGATTCATATTAGAAGTTCCAAGACATCTTTGCTTAAATAGGTTCTGATTTTGAAGACTGGAAATAATGGTACAGGGACTTTAAAAAAAAGAAAATTAGAGCTTTAGTTGGAATTTTCTCCATGCACTGATGAGTTTAGATCTTGGTGTGAAGAACACTGGACTTGGTGGCTGTATATGGACTCTACAGGATAAAAGTTAGAATTAGGTCATGAGCTATTCAGATTGTATACAGTCCTATTACTATTACCGTTTTAAGATATAAAATGATACACAGTTGACCCTTGAACAACACGAATTTGCAGCAACTGCAAGGGTCTGCTTATACTTGGATTTTTTTTTTTTTTTTTTTTTTTGATGAGTACTACTCAGTCTACAGTTGGTTTAATCCACGGATGTGGAACTGCAAATGGGGGCGAGGGGCTGGCTGTAAAGTTATATGCAGAAATTTTGACTGTGTGGTTGGTGTCTCTAATGCTCAAGTTGTTTGAGGGTCAGCTGTATAATGGACCTTTTGCACTTACGAAATGTTTCTACAGGCAGGCAAGCCGTGTAATTTGTGCATTGCTTGTTATGGCTTTGTTTCTTTGAAAGTAATTTTTTTTGTTGTTGTTATTTTATAGGATGTAATTGGCTGTACTCAGGAGATGGATTTCATTCTTTGGCCACGGAATGATATTGAAAAAATTGTCTGTCTCCTGTTTTCTAGGTGGAAGGAATCTGATGAGCCTTTTAGGCCTGTTCAGGTATTCTATTCTAAAACAAGTGTGGTGAACACATAAATAAGTGAAAATTCCTAGAATAGGGTCTCATTTAAGAAATTCTCTGGCAGTATGCTTTCTAGTAAGTTTTATTTCATGAGTCTCTCTTGGCCTTTTGGCTATTGTAATGCAAGAGGAGGAAGCATTTGGCGTATAGAATCTCTTGAGAATAGGTGGTTCTAACTACCCAGTATGTCTTTGAAATTATGGTCAGAAAATCTTTTAGGGTAGAAATTTGTTGATTTATAGATGAACTTCAGAAAATCTCTTCCCCTGTACCACACACACTCCTGAAATACTTTATACCTAATCTTGGTTTTCAAAGAAATCTGATCTAAGAAGTGAGTTACAAAACCCTTTTCATTTTAGGGTTTTACAGATAACCACATCTTATTCTAGGAAAGATTTGAAACAAGTTAGGTTTTATATGTGCATGTGCTTGTCCTCTTCAGCAAGACAAGCAACCTTAAGGTTGCGATAATCTTATTCATGTTTTTCGTGATCTAATAACATGCTTTTCATATACTAAAAGTTCAATAAATATTTGAATTGTGAAGAGATACAATTCAATATTATATTTTACATCCAATGCTATTTAGGGATACCATGTCATATTTTATGTTATGGCTTATAAGAAAAGCTATTGGGTAGTAAAACCCTGGATAGCAGGAACTGTTGGAATTTTTTTTCCATGTTAGTATTTTCTGCTGTCTGACATAGAAGGAGAATAAAGATTGTTTGAACTAAATGGACTAATAATCATTTTTACAATTGAGTATCTAAATATCAGATTGTTTAAGGTTTCCTGGTTTCTTGAATTCTCTGTTAGCCTGGTCTTTTTCACCTGGTATTTGGCTTCTTTATAGACATTTTGTGGGAGGATGGAGTTAATCTTCCTTATGTTAAAAGATTAAAAGACTATCATGACTGACTTGATAATGTCTTCATAACTTAAAATTTTTTTAAATAATAAAATTGGACATAAACACTTAAAAATTTCGAGGGATTCCTATATCCTCAGAAGCCCATCTGAATGAGAACTAGCCCTGTATTTCAGGTGTGGGCTTTACATTTTGTTTATTCCTCTAAACTGATGGGTTAGAGCCCTTTTATAAGTGAGAGAGCTGAAGTTTAGTAAAGTTAAGGGATTTGCACAGATCACTAAGTAGTAAAATATGCAGCTGGGATTGGAAAAGATTTCTTTGACTATTAGAATTTAGTCACTTTGGTGCAGTTTTTCTTGAAAGTCAAATTATATGATGAAATGTCATCCAGTAGAACTTTCTGTGATGAAGGAAATGTTCTGTATCTCAAGAGACTATTCAGAATGGTGACCACTTGCCACTTGTGACTATTGAGCATTTGAAATGTAGCTAGTGCTACTGAAGAACTGAATTTTAAATTCACCTATGTCAAAGAATTTTAAATTGCATTTAGTTAATACAAATTTAAGTAGCCACTGTTGGTTACCATATTGTATTGGACAGTGTAATTAGTTGCATATGGGTGCAGTAGACATTTCAGGTAGTGTAATATGTTTGTAATTATAAATGTTTATATTTCTTAATTAGGCCAAATTTGAATTTCATCACGGTGACTATGAAAAACAGTTTTTGCATGTACTGAGCCGAAAGGACAAGACTGGAATTGTTGTCAACAATCCTAACCAGTCAGTGTTTCTCTTCATTGACAGACAGCACTTGCAGGTAAGCTGGGGTTTTTTTGTTTGTTTTCTTTTTAAAACCATGTAAGACTCATTTTAAAAGCTGTTGGTTAGTAAACTGTTTTCTGTATAAGTTACTTAATTCTATTTTGTCCCTTCAACATTGCATTATTTTTGAAGTTACCTAAAAACCAAGAAACGTATCCTGAGCCTCACCCTAAAACAACGGTTCCCGAAGGTTGCTGCGTATTAGAACCACCTGGGGAGCTTTTTAAAAGTCATGATTCCAGTGTACAGTACTCAGAATTTGCATTTTGAACAAAATCAATCCTCAGGTGATTGATAACATTTTGAGAAGCACTGGCTTGAACCTTTTAAAGAAATATCTAAAGGGTAGGGCACATCTGTATTTAAAAGTTCCTCATGTGTTTTAAATAGGTATTTTCAATTTAAGTAGCAATCCAGGTATTCCAAACTGATTTTTATTCTGTAAAACATTGTTTATTCTTATCAATGTAAGCCTAAATATCATCACTTAGAATTTGTAGTAGATATAGATACTTTGTTACTAACCTTTAAAGATGGCATCATTTTAATTTACTGAACATTTCATTCAACAAATGAGTGCCTACTAAGTGCCAGGCATTGTACAGCAATGAACAAGGTAGGAATTCCTGTCCTTACTGGTTGACATTCCATTGTGGGAGACCGAGAAGTAGATAAGTAAAGTATGTAGTTAGATAGTGATAAGTGCTAAGAGGAAAGGAGGAGTTACATAAACTGTTGGGTATGAATTGTTAGTGTCACTGGAGAAGGCCTCATTGAGAAGGTGGTTTAAGTAAAGTTTTTTTTTAAAGTACAGTATTAATTGCATTATAGGACATTTTTATCTAAGAGCGTGCCTGTACAAGGTACTAGCAAAATACAAATGTGAATCATATTGCCACCTTCAGGGAGCTGATAGACAATACTTGGAAGATTGTACATTTTCTGTCATAAAAGTTAAATAATTATGGCATAGGTACAAATTAGAAATTACAGAAGAAAATTAATTTCACTGGAAGCATTTGATGAAACTCATGTTAAAAAAAAACCATATAACTTAGGTGGCATGTTTCTTGGTTTTTGGCTTTGTTTTCAGTTTCTTCTTTACCTTAGCTCTCCTGTGGTGGCTCCTTTTTAGTTGACTCTTCTCCTTTTTAATTGCTTGCTATGTACTTTCATTTGAGTTACTTGGTATTGACTTATATCATGGAATCCACAGTAGAGATTTTTAGTTACGAACTGTTTAATAATGACATATACTAGTGTAGAGACTTCATTTTCACATGAATATATATGAAATTGTTAATAATATACAGAAATGTCTAGTGACTTGAAGGAGTTTCTTGGCTGAATAAGTAGCATATCATCCCTTTTGTGTATCAAGGTCAGATATCTTTAATGCCTTATGAAGCAAACAGCTTGAATCCTTTTAATGAAAAGAAAATAATAAGCCCATAAGCTCCACTTGGGTTGTAGGTAGGGTGACCAACAGTCTCAGTTTGTCTGGAATGTCCTGGTTTTAGCACTGGAAGTGCCAAGTTCTAGAAACCCCTCAGTCCTAGGCAAACTGGGATGGTTGGTCCACCCTAGTTGGAGATGGATTTGGTCCTCCGTGCTCTTGGTCCCCTTCTTCCACTCAGGTTCTGTTCTTCATCTTCATAAGCTGGTGATAAGTTACTGTATTTGCATAATACGGAAGAATCAACCTCCACTGGTTCATGAGGGAACTGATGATAGTTGTGGCCACCACACGTTGTATACATTTGACACTTGAACAACATAGGGGTTAAGGGTGCCGACAACCTGTATAGTCGACAGCCTGTGTATAACTTTTTTAAATAGACATATAGTTAATTTACAGTGTTGTGTTTCTGATGTACAGCAGTGTGATTCAGTTATACATATTATATAATCTCCATTATAAGTTCTTACAAGCTATTAAATAGTTCCCTGTGCTGTACAGTAGGACCTTATCTATTTATTCTGTATATAGTAGTTTGTATCTGTTATCCCAAACTCTTTATTTTATCTCTCCCCCTTTTCCCCTTTGGTAACCCTAAGTTTGTTTTCTGTGTCTGTGAGTCTTTCTGTTTTGTAAATAAGTTCATTTGTATCATTTTAGATTCCACATACACATGATATATGATATTTGTCTTTATCTGACTTACTTCACTTAGTATGATAATCTCTAGGTCCATCCATGTTGCTGCAGATGGCATTACTTTATTCTTTCTTATGGCTCATATTCCACGGTGTATCTGTGTACACCATATCTTTATCCATTCATCTGTCAATGGACATTTGTGTATAACTTTTGACTCCCCCAAAACTTAGTCTACTGTTGAAGCCTTACTGGTAACATAAACAGTTGACTAACATGTATTTTGTGTTATATATTATAACATTATATGTATTATACACATTACATATATTATGTGTATATATTACATATATTTGTGTATTATGTATTATATGTGTTGTATTATAACACTATTATATGTGTTGTATTATAACACATATATGTATTATATATTGTATTACAGTTAAGCTAAAGAACAAACTGTTAAGGTCATAAGAAAATACATTTATGTTACTGTACTGTATTTATTGATACCTAAGTGTATTGTTTATTTACAAGATGAATTGTCTGTCAGTACCTACAACAGTATTGTCTTATATGATGCAAAACACTATAGGTGTTGTATGTATTACTAACACTAGACATCAAAAAAGATGTGAAAAAGAAATACATATATTTGTAAGTACAATGATCCATATATTGATAATAAAGAAGTGCAATACGATTGCTTTATGGCAGGCTAGTGTAGTCGATGTGATGGCTTCATGATAGCCTAGCCTATCTACTAATGAATGAATCCTTATGGCATACAGTATTACGGTCATATTCATAATACAGTATTAGTAACAATATTTTTTAAAAGCAAAGCAGTAAAACAAAACTGACATTACTAGTTTTATATTAAATATCACTCACCTTAACGCCTGTATAAGGATAGACTAGTATTTGCAGTTGACCTTAGACCAACATAGGTTTGAACTGTGTGGATCCGGTTATATGCAGATTTTTCTCAATAAATACAGATGCAGTACTGTGCAATCCATGGTTGCTTGAATCCATTGATCTGGAGCCATGTATATGGAGGGCAGACTGTAAATTATGTGCAGGTTTTGATCCGTATAGGATCAGCACCCTAACCCCTGTGTTGTTCACGGGTTATGCATTCATGACATAACTTTTTCTTTTTCTTTTTCCCTTTTTTTTTTGATATTTCTAGACTGTGTGGTTTGCAAGGTTTTTTAAATTACTGCAAATCTCCAAAAATTTTTCCAGTATATTAATTGAAAAAAATTTGCCTGTAAGTGGACCCTAGCAGTTCAAACCCATGTTCAAGGCTCAACGTATTATGCACCAGACTGTATAGTAAGAGTTCTATGTATATGCACTTATTTAATCCTCACAACAGTCTTCTGAGGTGTGGATCTTACTACTCCCATATTATGGCTAAGGAAATCAGGAAATTATGTAATTTGGTAAAAATCATCTAGCAGAGATCTTCTGCCCTTTATATTGGAATATCATATGTATGATACAGGCTAGACCCAAAAAGCACCTCGAACGGGTGGTGGTATAGAGGCGCATGCCTAGAGTCTGGATTCTCATATACACGCAGCCTCTTACTGGCTGTGAGATCTTGGACAAGTACTTCTGTGCACGTGTTCTTATAAATTAAGTAAATGATAGTCATAAGGTGGTTGTAACAGTTAAAATGAAAAAATATATGTGCATATGTATAGGTTCATTTACATATATGTAGACTGCTTCAGACATTGGCAAAGGCAATCTTCTTTTGCATATATTTTAGAGGTGCTATGGTGAAAGGAGGAACTTTGCAGGCAGTTCTGGGTTCAGATTCCATCTTCCACTTACTACCAGTGGTTATTTGTGAAAGCACCTCAGCACTTACCATAAGTTAGATGTTAAAATAGTAACTGCCTTTTAAAAATACTTAAAGGGCTTGATTTATCTGTTAATGTCTTGTCTTCTAGTCCTTTACCCCATGATATGGTTAAAGCTTTTTTTTTTTAATCTATTTCTAATCTTATCGTCTACTCTTCACCGCATCTGCTGTCTTTCTACACACAGATGTGACTTTGAACCTCTGTTCAACTCTATCTCCTTGAAATGCTTTTAATCCTGGTTTCTTTCAGCAAGTAGTCTGTTTGACTTTTCTCACTTTTTATTTTTATTCTGCATAAATTCTGTTAACAGTTATTTAGTTAATAATCATGTTTACTCTGGTTTTCTATGTTTTGTAAGGCAAGGTTTGTTTTCCTAACTAGATTAAGGGCCTTATGGATAGGGACCATAATGTCTTCTCTTACTCTATATACTTTATCACTGTGTTCATAAGTGCTTAATAAATTATGAGAGATTGACTTCATGTGATAATTGGTCAGTTATGTTAAAATCTTTTTTATTAAGGATATTAAAATTTCTCCCCTTCTAGACTCCAAAAAACAAAGCTACAATCTTCAAGTTATGCAGCATCTGCCTCTACCTGCCACAGGAACAGCTTACCCACTGGGCAGTTGGCACCATAGAGGATCACCTCCATCCCTATATGCCAGAATAGAGTGCTGACCAGCAAAATGGAGAAGATCAGAGAGTGCAGCAGCAATTTTTTTTTCCTTGTTTTCTTACCACTTTATTCTTTCAGAGTTAAAGAAAATGGACTCATGCACAGAACACTATGCATTTTGAAACTTGCTGATCCTGGATTTTTTTTTTTAATCATTTGTATCTCAGAACTTAAAAAAATTAGATGTCTTCTGCACGGACTGTGTGAAAGAAGATGCTTTGCATATTTGCTGCACTGCATCAGCATCTTAACTAAAAATGTGAAATGAAAGGACTATTGTACACTGAAATGCTTAAATGTATCTGCAAGCACAAGGTGATACTCATTTTTGATGGTCTTTCCATTTGTGCTGGTTTTTGCCTCTATGACATCTGTCATCAGTATTTGGAGGGTGAGAAATGAATGTAACAGGTGTAAGTAACATTTAAAAAACTTAATAGCTTTGCTATAATCACCGTTGTTCCAGAGCACTGTCAGATTCTAACGACCAGAAGTGGTTGTTTTAAAAAAAAAAAAAGGAAAGAAAGAAAATACAACCATGGGGAAGAAGTCTTAAATGAAAAAAGCATCTCGTTGTAGGCATTCTTGCCATATATTACTGGGCCATGTTTGTTTCCTGGTACTCATAAATATATGTATTTTATTTCCAGATCTCTTTCCCCAAGTTGCTGTTATAAAAGAGTATTCTGCTGAGTGTGCATACAGTTACACATTAAAGCAGATCTGGAGTCTGAAGTAGCTAAGCAGCTATAAAACTGAGAAGTACTCCCATAGCTGCAGAAACCATGATAGGCAGAGGACTTTCCTTTTGGTTTTTGTTTTGTTTTTTGGCTTTAAAGAGAAGAGATTTTTATTACAAAGAAAAAATTCCAGTGAATTGTGCAGAAATACTGGTTTTTACACCATCCTAAAGAAAACTTATGAGGGTTTTTTGAAGTAGAAAAGTTACTAAAGTTGGGACCTTAAATTGTAAAAAACAACAACAAAAAAAATTGAGTGTCAAAGTTCTAAAAGCAGAACTCATTTTGTGCAATGAACATAAGGAAAGACTACTGTATAGTTTTTTTTGTTGTTTATTTTTTTCTTTTAAATGAAGAAAAGCTTTGCTTAAGGGTTGCATACTTTTATTGGAGTAAATCTGAATGATCCTACTCCTTTGGAGTAAAACTTAGTGCTTACTGGTTTCCGATTGTATTTAGCTTCTGGTTGGAATTTGAATAAATGAAAACCTAAATAAAATAGGTGAAAGTTCCCTGAGTATTCAGGTGAATACACAAAACTTGAAGTGCTAACTTTTTTGTAAATTACATGGGTACATGTTATTGATGATCTTAGGAGGGTTTATAGTCCGTCGCTAAACAGTAAACTCAGAAAAGTCGACAGTTGGGTCTGTAATTTCAACAAGAATGGAATGAAGGACAGTTTTCAGCTTTTAACGGGTATCATCCTAGCCTTATGTCTGGCTTCATGAGAAAGAAGAAAAATATTCTTAATTTCAGAATGCTTTTTCACATGTTTTCTGATCCGTTGAAAATTAGAATCTATTTGAAATAACATTTTGTTTCTCATGGCTACATATTGTTCTAAGCTCTTATAACTCGAAGTAGACGCAGAGATTTTAGCAACCTGCTCAAACTCATTGTGAGTGGGAGAGTATTTAAAACCTGGCTGTCTGGCTCTGTAGTTAGTTTTTATTTTAGAATAAACTAGGAGAGTTGTAAGAATAACACGGAAAGCTTTTGTGTAACTTTTACCCACAAAATAACTGACATTTTGCCACATTTGTTTTCTTGTTTTTCTCCATATGTTTATATATTTTCTGAGTCATTTGAGAGTCGTGCATACATCTTGATCTCTTCCCTCTTGGTACCTTGGCATATGTCTCAAGTACAAGGATATTTTCTTATTACCACAGTAAAATTATCAAACTCAAATGTAACATTGATATACTTTAATCTACCATCCACATTCCAGTTTTGCTGTCATTTCTTTCAGTGTTTTGGTTTTGGGGTTTTTTTTAGGAGAGATGACTTGTTATCAACCACCTCCCACTTTTAGGGGGGATGTAATTAGGTTTTTATTCATGGGGATTGAACTTTTTTTTAATGGAGGCACTGAGGATTGAACCCAGGACTTAAGCGTGTGCTTTACCACTGAGCTGTATATACCCTCCTCCCAACAGTGTGTTTTTATACCCCCTATAGTCAGTACAGGATCGTCGCATTTAGTTGTCTTATCTCTCATCTTTAATCTGGAACAGTTCCTCAGCCTTTAATGACCTTGACGTTTTTGAAGCGTGCAGGCCAACTTTTAAAACACAAAGTGTCCTTATTTTGCATTTGAGTAGTGTTCCTTCATGGTTAGGTTTGGATTATGTATTCTGGCCAATGCCCAATATAAGTGAACTTATGCCCCTCTCAAGTTCATATCCAGAAGCACACTGTCAGTATGCTCTTTGTTGATGTTAATTTTGATTGGTCAAGGTGATGTCCTATTTCTGCATTTTATAGTTACTATTTTGTACCTACCTCTCCACATTTATCAGCATTCTGTTGTAACGAAGAGCCCTTGTGCCATTATTACCTAAGCAGTATGGACTCAGTGCCTTTCTTTTTAATGCTGCATAATTTTCACGTCTCATCATCTTGAGCAATTCCTTACTTTCAAGCGCAAGATATATTCATCCTGGACTTTCCTATCCCAGCCCCCAGCTCTGGAATCAGCTACTTCAAGGAGCCCAGGTTACTCTTAGTAGCAGATACTAGATCTGGGTTTCCTGTGTGTTCATTGCTACTTTGAAGTCCGCTTCTGTCCTTTCAACAGATCAGCATGTATTCTAATCCAACCAAAGGATACGCAATTTTTAACTACTATTGTTTCCAAGCTTATTAAAGATGCTTCCTTTCATTTTGCTCTTTAGTCATGAAACATTCACTAAGATCCCCTGATGCAGAAATCAAATGTTATGAATGCCATAGTCAACTGGACTTTGAGAAACGGACTGAACAATCTCTGAACTTGGTCTTTCCAGTACTGTAGATTGGGAGATTCAAGATCTGCATGGTTTTATCCTTAAGTACTGGAAACGGGACTAATAGTATGCCCATCCCCACCATAAAATATGCCAGTCCAGTAATAAATTCTCTATCAGAGAAAAGCAGCACACCACTGGACTATTTCCTTTATCACTAATGTGCTTTGCCTCAAACTTTGTTGAGGACTACTCAATTTTATTTTCTAATGTCGCCCATGGTTCATCTGTTTTGCAGTTCCATAATACTGAAATTGGGTTTAAAAAAAATGTAGCATGGCATTTGAGAGCTGAAAAGGACCTACAATTCGTTTAAGGAGTAAACATTAATTTATATTTCTTCTTTAGCTTAATACTGGATTTGTTTTAAGGCCCTGCTAGCTTTGCTTTACCTGTTTTCAGAACACTTCGAGCTAAGAATGTTTTCATCTAAGTATCGTGTCTGATTACAAACTAAAACTAAAGCGGCATAAAGTGGAAGAATATAGACAACCCTAGCCTATATTCCACTTCATCTCTGGCATTTTCCCCAAAGAAAATACCTCTCAGCTGTTGCTTCTGGTTGTGCTAATTTATTTTGAGAATGAATATTTGTTCAAGTCCAAGTGGACATTCATTTTTGGGTTTCTGTAGGTTACACTGCTGTTCTCAGTTTCCCAGGTGTTTTGTGTGTCTGCCTTGTGCTATTAATTTTCCCGTGGCCTTGTTCGTCAGATCCACAGAGGCAAAGGCAAGTGTTTTTCCTTGCTTCAGAATATGTGCTGTAATCACTATATCATCTCCAATTTTAGCAGGTGACATGTACCTTAAAGGAAACATTTAAATTTAGTTAACAAATAGTTTTTAAAAGAAAAAGGTGTGTGCATCTCATAACAGCCTTTTTTTTTTTAAATAACAGCCTTCTTATGTTACTTATTTCACTCCTTAATACTCCTAAATAGTTTGATATCAGTAAGCTTTCTGTCTTTCTAATTTGAATGGCTGGTCCTGAACACATTACAGCTTACCCATTTCTTATCCACACAAGTTTCTTTTCCCATAAATAGTGGGAGGGGTTTTCAACTGCCCGTCCCCCTTTTTCTTTACGTTTCCCATTTCATATGTATTTGGGGCTAGTGAATGATTTCCTCTAGCTTTCATTTAATTTGCTTAACTTCCTAGAAGTGATGTTTGGTGTTTATATCTTGTCATATCAATAATGCAGAATTTACTGAACTCTAAAATGACTTAACAGAAGAACTATAACATATTAGTATGAGGCCCTTTTGAAACTCAGGCAGTTCTTGATAGTGGCCAATACTTTGGCAACACTTACTTGGAAAGGCCAAAATTTTGTTTGGCTTATTAAAAATTCTTCAGCGTTGTAAAAGCAGCAGTATCTTAGAAGATCATGAAATGCAGTGCTAGGTTAGAAGATCTCTGCTCCTAAATAGAGGTTCTTAAGGCAAAGCAGAGTCATCAACTGGTCTTAACCGTCATCACATGGAGTAAGACAAGGACTGCTGAGTATGCCCCCCAGTGCCGTGAGCAGATCTTAATTTCAGAAGACCATTTGCATCTTGTCCTGTGATTTGCTTACTGCACCCTGAATTTTATTTCCATCATAAAGAGGCACTGAATGTTTCTTAAGTTAGCCTAAGAAAAAATCTGGATTGTTTAAAAACCTGAAAACTATTTCCATTGCCCTCACGTCACATAATGCTGGTTTCCCACCCTAACCCCAGTCTGCCCCTCTAACAAGTCATTTTTCTGTTGCTTAGGTGGAAAAAGAAATTGTCTTGAAACTAAACCCCTGGGCCCTGCACTCTCCTGAGTGGGATGCTGGGAGCAGTACTAGTTGATGTGGGAACTGAATCTTTTACATCTGGAGGTGTTTGACCCCTGCAGGCCTTTTCACAACAGTGAGTGAAACCTGACATCTGGGGTTCTGCTCCCTGATCATGAGAGCATGTCTGTGCAATTACAGAAAAAGATGAAGGACTGGACATTGTGTTCACCTTGTTACAAGGTGATGACAATGTATACATGAAGGTTTTCCCAACTTTTCTTTGATTTTTATTCAAGCTTTTCTCTATATGTTCTCAATACAGCTCTCATAAGACGTTTGTATAAGTGGCACTTTTAAGGAGTGTATGAAACAGCTGTAAGCCATGATTTGATGTGATGTGATTTTTTTTCCCCACCAGTATGCATATTAGAAGCTGAATGTTTGCCTTTTTGAATGTTTAGATCATTCCCCCTTTATTACTGATATATACTGTATTTGGAAATTAATTCCTCTAGTTCTAGATTCTAAAGCCATGGACTATTTTAAGGCAAATCTAGCTGTAGTTAAGGATGACTAGCTAAGGGTACCTCATGCTTTCTTTATGTTATAAACATAACATGGTCTCAGTTGCTTGAAATAAGTTATTTGGGGTACAGCTTGGATACATACGTTATGTTCATATCGACGCTGACTCCAGGTACTCCTCTCTCTGAGCATATCAGAGCAAATGTCGATATGCAATCCACTAGGGTGGCTGTCATGCCACCATGGAGAGTGCCCATTTTATTCGTGTGCTGCTCTTCCACTTTCATTTCACAGATCATTTTCCCAGGGACAGCAGAGACTAAATTCACCTATGTGTGAAAAAAAGAATTTGAACATTTCGTGGTGGTAGAAAAGCCCAAAACAGCCTATCATGAACTGTCACTGGATTATACTCTCAAAAAGTTGATTGAGAAATTAAAAAAGTTACCAATCTCTTTATGATAGAAATTAAGTCTAATGTAAATGGTTTTTAGAGAAAAGGGAATATTTAGGGAAAAATAGGAGTAGTTTTGTTAATCTGCACTCCTTTGCAGAAATCAAATATTCCATCTGAGCTTTTCAGCCTTAAGTACAACAACCTGGCATCTCTTAATGTCTCAGAAATTTTGCACCAGCAAAGTCAGCTGGTCCATGTGATCTGTCAACCAACTATAGGTTTAATCTGGATGCTTCCTAGTTTTTGCACAGTGTAATTTTTTAAATGACCTCATAATGAACAGTTTAAAACAATTTTAAGAAAAAACTGGAAGAAATTCAGTAATTCAATGAGTTGCTAGAATTAATAAGCTTATACCACAAACCCACTTTAATAAAAAGTTTAATAGAATCCATCAACGTTAAATAGCTGCTTTTATTTATTTTAAATCACTTTAATTTTTTAATTTTACTTTTTAATGGAGGTACTGGGGATTGAACCCAGGACATCGTGCATGCTAAGCATGTATTCTACCACTGAGCTATTTCCCTCCCCACTAAATTGCTGCTTTTGAGATCCTGTCCCATTTATAGTATCATAATGAAAAAGAATTATATGAAAGATAAAATGTGGAACAATGAATTTAAAATTTTAAATCAAACATCTCTAAAGGAAACTTACAGAAAAATAATAGAAATGTGTTTCTTATATCCTATATAAAAGTACTAGGAAAAAACATCATAGATAATATTTAGAAGTTGGAACTGAGCTGTGGATGGAAAGTGCTGTGCCCAGCAGCAGTAATTCTCACCGTCACTAGAGGTGTTCAGGCAGAACATGGATGAATATTTGGCGTGTCTGTTGTGTTTAGGGGAGGGAGGGATGTCGCAAGCATTAAATAGTTGGTTTGATCCCAGGTAACTACCATTTACTGAGCACTTGCAATGTGCTAGGCACTGTCCCAAAGCCTTTCCACATACTGTATAATAAGGAAGGGATGGTTTCCATTTTATGGTAACTTAAACTCTGAGTGTTTTACTCTCAAGGTCACCCTGGATGTGACAGAACTGAGATTCAGATCTAGGTCTGTGCACCTCCAAGTCTCCCTGGTTGCTAACTGTAAAGTCTCTAGGTAAACAGAGGCCTTTACGCTCCCACCAGGAAGATGTTTTGGTATTTCACAAACCGTAACATTAATAGTTTGCTGTTATTTATCCCCTAGAAGACCCTGACTTAGAAATAGAACTGTATAATACGAACCATCCTAAATAATATGTCTTGTTTTGCTTAACAGGTAAGTCAAAAGAAGAATGTTAGAACAAGATCAAGTCTATTTATACAATAAATGATCTAGCCACAAGGTGTCCTCATAAACTGATAATACTCCCAAGCAGGCCCAAGGTATAAGTTCACCTTGTTGGGGCATTTATCCTAGTCTATCAAGCACTGCAATGTAAAGATAAACAAGATTAAGTCCCTGCTCTTAGGGGTTCCCAGTCTAAAGGGGGAGACAAATGTGCACACGGCAGTGGAGGGAGTTACTGCAGATGGGATAAATACCGGCTGCTGGAAGTAAGGATCTAACTTATCAAAGTGTATTTCCAGGGAAGAGACATTAGGAAAGACATCCTGCGAAATGGCATTCGAGGCTTAAAGGATGGGCAGGAATTAGCCAGGTGAACATGGGGAAAAAGCCAGGCAGTTTAGGAAACAGAATCAAACAGGGAAGCCTTAGAGACACCCAAGGTAGTTAGTGTAATTTTAAGGTGTGGTGTGTTTAGCAGAGGTCAGTTCTTAAAGTTCCATTTGATTATCTAACTTTGGCTGGGACAACAAAAGATAAAACAAATGTCAACTGGATCTTCTACTGCAGAATGCTGATTTTAATTTTTATTTTCTCCAACTTGAAAAGCCAAAGGACATACTAACATACAAAACTGGCTTAAAATGTATATTGGACTAGAGATACTTTTGTTCTGGTAGCCTGATATGGCAGAGAAATACTTTTATGTGTTGTCACTCCTTGTCTCCCTAAATAAGCCAATGGACAATCACAATGAAGGTGTGTCCTACCTGACCAACCAGAACTCATCAGTCTTGTGGGGCAAAAAGCCAATGGAGAGCTAACCTCTCTTTGATGAAGAACAGGGGTGGGGAGAGGACACTGTAAAAAAAAAAAAGATCTCAGTCTCAATCAAGATACAGACTGTATCACGTTAACTGTGGCTTAGAGACCAAGCTCAGAAACGTACATGCATAGTCTTACATAAATTGAGACGTTGTCTCAATTCTCACAAATCTCTGAAGTACTGTTTTTATCTCCATTGGACCCAGGTGTCTCAGGCTTAACCACTATGCAAAACTGCCTCCCCTCCCATCTCACCTGGACTGCTGCAGACAACTAGGACCTCATTCATTGGTGTCTTCTGGGAAGGTGGGTGTGTAGCCTTTTATGATGCCGAGATAAGAAATACTGTTGCCATGGCCCCAGTAATACAGAGGATTGCCCAGGATGCTGCAGGTTGGGCGACTGAAGTAGATTGGCAAGAACGTTACTTTATGGCTCAGTCCAGTCTGACCCAATAAACTCCTTAGTTTAGCATAAAAATTCTCTTAAATGGACTCGCACACATACAATCATCTGCCCCTTTTCTACATGGCCTGTAGTGTGCCGTCTCGTCCCTGCACTTCATGCATTCACATGAATTTATGTGGTTCACACTGCCATAGCATTCCCTCTGTTGCCAAACTCAGGCTCAGATCCCATCAGAGACACTTCAGGTGACACACTCTCCCCCTTTCTTCACTTACCTTTTCAGTGGAGAATTGAGAAGGGAGGCCTAGTAATCAACAGCAGAGAAAGAGATGGTCCCTAATAGAAAGCTCTGTCCAGAACCCGGAGTTCTCTTTGGCCTTGACGTTTCCCATCTTTCTGGCCTTTGAGAGTCACCATCATCACTGGGGCTCCTGCTGACTGCTGAGCAGCCAGCACCCTGCCTCTGCTAACGATTCAGTAAGGGTGTCTGTCTGGAATGGGCCTCAAGGGGTGTGGCATGTGGTGTGAGAAAACCTGCGTGTATATAAAAATGTGAGTCAACCAAGGAGGCTGAATAGGAGAGACCATACGTGTGCACAGGAGCACAGAGAACAGACAATATTAGTGGATGAGAATTTTGTGTTTGTGAAGGAGGCTGTTTTCACAGCAATTTGCCCTGGTTTGCAATTTGGCTGATTTCATATGTGCCACAATACAGATACCAGAAGGAACTATGTCTGAGGACAGTGTATAAATACACCTGCATGTAAACAGGAAAGGAGGTAAAGAGTAAGAGAGAAGGTGGCAGTGTGATGGGGTGGCATCCATGGTGCCTAGAATAATGCCTAGCACCAGCAGGCACTGTTTGTTGAATGAGTGAATGAATACATTCAAATCTGAAGGTCAGCTAAGAGCATTCTCTAACAATATGCCCAACAGTTAGTAGCTTCAGCGACTGACTGAACAAACTATAGGGAGTATCTTCTGTGAAAGAAAGGCATTCAGCTAGGCACTGTCCAGTAGGCACTGACAAATGCTTATTAAACTCCTGCTGTGGACGTGCTCTCAGAGAGCTCTCAGTGTGGAGAGGGAAGGCAGAAAACTCACTAGATACATCATAGTAAGTTCTATGGCAAAAGCTAGCCAAGGAGCAGAGGAATACACTTGGAGATGCCAGGGGAGGCTTTCCAAGGACAGTGGGTGCTATTTGAAAAGGACACTGAAAGATAAGAGTGAAAATGGGGGCCAACTGGGTCAAGAGCAGAGGATCCCAAAACAGGGAGTGTACAAAGCAGTAGAAGCTTTACGAGAAGGCCAAAAATAACAAATGTTAGCAAACGAGCGCCATGGGAGTCAAAACAAAGGCCTAGGGAAGAGCAAAGAGGAATTTAATTAAATATTCCCTTAAGATTTAGCCAACTAAAGTAGCATTCTACTCTTGTCCATTGGAGTGGTGGTGATGGTGAGAGATGTGCTAAGAAGGAATATACGCAATCACTGTATTTTTCCCTGAAGGCTGGTAAATGGCAGATTTTACTGAATCATTCTGGGATGCATATAAAGGTGGATGAAGGCCTCTATCACATTAATCACATTGGCAAGATTTCTCTCAATTACAGCTTCTCTTCTGCCTTGAACCTGGAAAAGAGGGGCGAGTAGGGAAGGACCTTCCTTACAACCTACAGACTGAGGAATGTCTAGTCACTCCTCCAGACTTTCTCTGAAGGGAAAGCACAAACTTGTGTAGAATTTTTGCAGCTGATCTAGTTTGGAATGTAGTACCTGAATATAGAGTCATTCCCGGGAAGGAATGATGCCCTACGGGAATGTAACTATGGTGAGCCAGTTATGATTAAGCCACAAATCAAACAGCAACAAAGAAGTTTAAATAATCTGTTCACTGAGAAACAGTATTCCAGAAATTTCTGCGGATCCTACACTGCTTTTGTTTAGTGTTCTGTTCTTAATCTTTAAAATGCATACATTCAATTTCTATTAAAGCTCTTAGTAACATCCTGAGGTCTTCACAAACCTCAGGACTTAAAAGGCTACTTAGATAAGTGGTATAACATTTCAGTGGCATTTATTTCAGAGGCTGTACATAGAACGAAACCTTAACTATCTTCCACGGCAGAAGAATCATTTCCTTTGAAAGGATTGTCATCATTTCCCTTGAATTGGTCATTCATTTACCACTGCAAAAACTATTAATTTTCTAAAATATTTAGTTGCTCTGAGTTGATGCCACATCCTTTCCCCCTCTATATCAGTAATTCTTGACTTGAGTTCATTATTTCACTAATTATATCTTGATTCTTTAAATCCTATCTCTGATCCATCTAAAACTGCCATGTTCCTTCTCTTTATTGGGTTTTCAATTACAAAAATAAAATCATTCATTTTATATGAATAAATAAATCAAAGAGTATAAGATGCAGTTTCCAAAACCTACTACCCCTTCAGTGCTGTATATCATTCAATATGATTCTCTAGGCTTATTCAAACATGTACAATATAGAGTTTTTCCCTTTCTTTTTATAAGATTACAAAAATGGGATCATATTATGCATATTTGCAAATTTCAGTTCTCTTCCCAGTATACCACAGCCATTCCTCTAGCTCAATTCATATAGATCACTTATTTTTTTATTTTTAACTTAATTTTATTTATTTTTATTTTGGGGGGGAAGGTAATTAGGTTTTTTGCTTATTTATTTTAATGGAGGTACTGGGGATTGAACCCAGGGCCTTTTACATACTAAGCATGTGCTCTACCACTTGGGCTATCCCCCCACCCCCATATAGATCTCTTTTAATAGCTTTGTGGTATTCTCTAGTGTTGAATATATTAGATTTATTAAACTATTGCTTGGTATACAGGTCCTTTCCATATTTTTCTTTACCATTACAAATAAAGGTGCTTTTATTTGTATAGGAGAAATTGCCAAAACTAGATAGCTGGGTAAAAGAGTATGTAAATTTTTAACAAATCTGCCAGATTACTTCTGGAAAGCAAAGAGTAAATGCCTCATTCCCTTATTCCTCATCAGTAATGTGTATTATTACTCAATTTTTACAATATGATGGGCACAATCTGATGGTATCTTATGGTTTATGTTTGCATCAGCCAGACTATCAGTGCTCCTGATTATATTTCTTTTTCTGTGAACAGCCTGATACATCCTTTGTGCCCACTTACATATTAGACTGTCTCTACAGCTCTTCTTACCATATCAGATTTTAACACCTAGTCATAGAGTGAAAATCTTTTCCTAATTATTGTATTTTGACTTTTATTGTATCTTTTGCCATAAAAAGATGAGTTCACGTTCATGAAGTGCACAGTGCCCAACACATAATAAGTGCTAGGGAAACTTTAAAAAATATAAATGATCAATAAAAATTGTAATTTTATAAAGCCATATATAACATGTTATTGAATGGCATGCTCCTATGTTAATTAGCAAATCATTTTTCAAGACATGACTCCTTCATGTGACAAAGGTGTGGTTTATACTTATAAAGAACAAGAGGGCAGCAACTTAATCAAGTTTTGACTGAGAACAAAGCAAATGATTAAGAGGATGGCTTATGTCCAAATTTCCAAACCTCAGCACTGTTGACCTTTGTACTGGATGATTCTCTGTTGTGGGGACAGAGGGAGGGAAACTGTGCACCCTGGCTTCTACCTCCTAGATGCCAGCAGCGCTATTCCCACCCCATTCCAGTTGTGATGATCAAAAATGTCTCCAGAATTGCCAAATGTCCCACGGGGAGTAAAACCACCCCTAATTGAGAACCACTGGTCTAGATCATGTTACCTTAAAATTTATAGTAAAAGGAAATGAACCATGTTCACAACTAGATTTACACATCACTGTGCATAAATCTATACTTTAGCTTGAGCAACTCTGCCCACACAAAACATAAACAACTACAAAACCCGTTCTCCAACAAATTAACAAGCATAGAGCACCTACCATATTGACCTGTGCAGTTTAACAAGTAGCCACTAGCCACCTGTATTGAGCATCTAACACATGGCAAATATGAATTGAGATGAGCTGTAAGTGTAAAATTCACACTGGATTTCAAAGATTAAGTACAAAAAGGGAGTACTCTATACTGATTACATGTTAAAATATTTTGGATATTATGAATTACTTAATATAGTTTACTAAAATTAATTTCACCTACTTCTTTTAAAATATTAAAATATTATAATAATATAATTATGTAATGTTGCTATTATAAAATTATTATGAAATACCTTATTTAAAATGGAGTCGGGAAGCCCTGCAGAAGGGAGCTTTCACTCATTTACCACTCCTCCCAGCTTACTTTACAAACCCCAGTAGGAAAAAGATTTTCTCCTAGTCCATCAAAAAGCTCGTGAAAAACCTCCGCAACTCAACCAACGAGAAACCAGCACAAGGGGAACTCTCTTCTTCAACGAATTTGTTCAAAATAGCCCCTCTCGACTTTTCCCTCTCCTCTATAAAAAAACAGCTTAAGACTTGCCTGTGGTTGGCCATAGTCTTCATGTCCTAAATTGCAATTCCTCCGCTACTGTCCAATAGACTCCGCTGGCTAAACCACTGACCTTTTTTGTTTTGAAGACAGATCAGCACAAGCACATCTAGCACATAACGGCGCTCCATTCAAGTAGTGATCATTATTACTAAGGTGAATTTGGGTACTCAGTCCAACAGGATCTAGCCAGAGACAATTTATTCAGCGCTCCCCGCGCACCAAGCACTGTGCTTCCTTTCCCTTCATTAGATACCGCGACTTCGCTTCCAATACCTTGTCCAAAACTCTGTCAAAATCGCGATGACTGCTAAGGAACTTCATCATCTCCATCATATTCTTTCCCTTACAGCTCATCGTGGACCGGACGCCAGCTCCCAGGCCCCAAGCAAGAATGATTCTTGGAAGAGCAGAGAAGCCCAGAAGTTCGCAAAGAGAAACAAGGACGCTGCGGGCGAAGGGTTTACGTCCTTCTGGGCCTGCGGCGACTTCCGATCCGCCCTCGCGCGCGCCCGCCGCCACGGTCCCCAGCAACTCGCGCATTGACGTTCCGCGCCCCTTTGTGACCGCGCGCGCACGCGGCGCCCCGCCCGGGCCCCCCGGGGCCGGCTCTCCTGCTGCGCAGGCGCAGTATCGCCCTCCGAGAGCGGAGCGCGTTTCCTCGCCGGGCGGTTGATGTGCGAACGCCGGGGCGCCGGGCGCCTGCGCAGAGCGGGGTGCTGCCCCATGGCCAGCTTCAGGGGGCGGTAAGCCGGCGGTGAGGCGGCAGTGAGCCGATGGAGCGGGAAAGCGGTTTGGAGGCTGGGCCCGAGGCGGAGCGGGAGGAGGGAGGACCCCAGGCGAAGAAGCGACGACTTCTGTGCATGGAGTTTGCCTCGGTCGCGAGTTGCGACGCCGCCGTGGCTCAGTGCTACCTGGCCGAGAACGACTGGGAGATGGAAGTACGCTTTCGCTATTTCTCTTCCCTCCCTTTACTTCGGTCGGTGCGGCGCACACGTCCCATTCTTGTGTCTTTTGTTCTTCAGAGAGCGCTGAACTCCTACTTCGAGCCGGCGGTGGAGGAGAATGCCTTGGAAAGCCGCCCCGAGCCCCTCTCCGAGCCCCTCTCCGAGCCCCTCTCCGAGCCCGAGTCCTGGTGCGTGCCGGCGGGGGCGGGGGCCCGTCGGGGCGGAGGCAGTTCGGTGTCGGGTTGCGGTGGGCATCCTGGGACCTGCCTTGAAGTTGGGCGGGCGGGCTGAGTAGAGGCCGAGTAGCCGAAGCGTTGTTGGCGCGTCGGATGGAGATGCGCCCTAGCTGCGGGGCTGACCCTTCTCTCCCGAGGTCCAGGCTGTCGCTTCGAACGTACTTTGGAGTCTGGGGAGGAAATATCTGAAATGTAATTTTTGACTCCAATTATCGAAAATATGTAAGCGAGAGTTTCGAAACAAATGAATGAGGCAAAATCCTCTCCTGAAGAATGGTAACTTGGCAATCTCCTTACTTTCCATATTGTTGTTGTTTATTTACTCTCTGCCTACCAGCTAGAATAGTAGTTTTTTGTAAAATGCACATCCTCCCCTGTTATTTCACTCCCCAATTCCTGCACCACCTCTGTTAAACTCCAGGTGCCTTACCAGACCCTCCACGGTTTGACCACCACCTGTCTTTCGGGTTTTGTCTTTCCTATCCCACAAAACTTCTGGACATATCAAACTTTCCCTTTCTCCAGTGGGCCATTTTCTCTTGCCTTTCAACCTAGAACCTTTTTTTTCATCCCTGCTGAATAATACTAATCTTAAAAGCCGAATTTAGACATGACTTATCTCCAAGATATTGACATGAAGTTTATTAAAATTATAAATACAAAAGCCTGTTTCTTAAATTTATGTACATTTTATAAATGCTGAGCAGTCCCCTTTTAATGTTGTGTCCCTCCACTCATGTCTGATCCTTGGTGGGGACGGTGGGGTCGGGCAGGACTGTAGACTGGAGCACGTAGAAGTCTCTCAGGACGGCAGTTTCAGAGCAGTCAGACTTCTCCCACGGCAGCCCACAGTTCCTGGACAGAGTGTTCCGAAAGGCTTGAGTGAAAGCTGCGAGGCTTCTTACGGCCAAGCCTCAGAAATCCCAGAATATCCTTTTCACTGGATTCTATTGGTCAGGCAAGTCGGTCAGGCCCAGATTAAAGGGGAATGGTGTTAGACTTCAGCTCTCAGTGAGGGGAATAACAGAATTTGCAGCCATTATTTATCTGGCATAATGAGATCTTACGTCAAATCTGATTTAAAATGAAATGAAAACCTCACATTACTCAGTCTAATTTGGGGTCATAGTTTGTAAAATCATTTTGGTGACACATGTCATCGAAGGCTGTTGAGTTGGTTCTCACCGTGTAATTGAGCAGACGTTTGGAGAACACAGGCAAGATATATTTATCCTGTCATCAGACTTTTGCACTTTGATTGGCAGATACTTTTAGGACTCTTTTAAGATTTATTTATCTGTAAAATGAAGGCTGCAAAGACTCAAAATAATTTTTAAATCAGTCAGTTTATAGAGCAATTGCAAAGTTGTATTTCATTCTGACCTTGCCAGTGTTGACCTCACCAAGGAAGAAACGAGAGATTCCATTAGTTCTAAAACCAGCACATCTGAAGGTGTTCAGCAGGAAGATGGCAGCGTGTTCTCTTTCATCACCTGGAATATTGATGGATTGGACTTAAACAATCTGCTAGAGCGGGCTCGAGGGGTGTGTTCCTATTTAACTTTGTAAGTATTATTACATCTGTTTAACAGTAGGATGATAACATATCTTACCACCTACAACAGGGGTCACAGTTCAAGTTTATGGGCTTTGGAATCAGCCCTAGTCCAGCTCTCAGAAGAAACATCTGAAAGAATTGGGAGTGATTCCCTGTGGGAGCAGGATTGCAGTTTGGGATGCAGTGGGAACACTAATTTCTGTTAGAAGCCTTCTAGTACTATTTTACTTATTAAATTTCGTGTGTACTTACTGCTATAAAAAGGAAATAACCAAAATGATCTGTATCTGCTACACACTGGCTCTGTGACTTTGTGTAACCACTTGTGAGCCACTTAAGTTCTCTGGAGCTCCATTTTCTTCATGGTGGATAACAGTTGTTTCAAGAGGATTGAAAGAGACAATAACAGTTAAAGCACCTTTTAGTGTGTAGGACCAATGTAGGCTTTCAGTGTTACTGGTATCTGATGTCAGTGATTCCAGTTCTTCTAACTTTAAAGTGATGTCACATATGTTTTTTTTAATTGACCTTTACAGTGTTATTTGTGAAATAACACAGATCTTTCTCATTTTATAGTTATCAAAGTTCAGTAGAAACGTTGAATATTAGGTGTCCTAGAGGATTACAGTTCTGTGTTTCTTTTATGCTGTGGTATTTTCCTAATCTGGGTAGCTGCAAATGAAATGCTATACCCGGTGTTCATCATAAATTGATGTTTTTAATTAGGTACAACCCATGTGTGGTATTTCTACAGGAAGTTATTCCCCCATACTATGCCTACCTAAAGAAGAAAGCAAGTAGTTATGAGATTATTACAGGTAACAATTTTGCTGTTATTATCTTGTCTTTTTCTTTGAAAAACAAATAAGTGAAAGAGATAAATCAAAGTTAGACAATTGGAACATAGACAGGAAAAAGCACAAATAAAATAAGCTTGAGAAAAACAAGCCAGACACAGAATACTAAAAAAAAAAAAAAAAAAAGGAGAATATGTTATACAGCTTATATATGTGAAAAAGTGGTTGAAATGAGATTTTTCAGGAAAATATAAATTGCCAAAATTTGAGACCCTGAGTAGCTTTTTGGTGAAATTATTAAAAAAATTTTTCTGTGATTGCCTTGTGGTTATGCTTTTTCAAAAAGTCTGTCTTTATTAATTCGTTTTTATTTATTTTGGGTTTTTTCCCCAGCTTTTTCCCTGAATAATTCAGTTAAAAAATTTTTTTTAACTTTTTTTTATTGAGTAATAGTCATTTTACAATTTTGTGTCAAATTCCAGTGTAGAGCACAATCTTTCAGTTATACATGAAAGGTAAAAATTTTTTTAAATCTGTTTTATTTTTACTAAGGGCATTTAACGTACTACTGTGGCTACATTTCACGATTTTTTGCTAAATCTCATGTTTTCTTTGACTCTCACTTTTATGTAGTACGTGAGTTTCATTTTGATTTGCTTTTTAGTCCAGAATTGCTAAAGAGAGGGTTCTCTCTCAGTCTCTGTCCTTCTTTGTGGGACAACTTTCCTACTTTCTCTTGGGGATACTTTTTTGCCTGTCTTCCGTCTTGGATATCTTGTTTTCTACATCCCATGGTTTTTTCCTTCTTGATTTACTTTCTCATTTTAATTGGAGCACATTGAGTTCCCGTCACTTTCTAAGTAGCACGTGGGGAAGGAAGGTTTTGAATCTCAGCGTATTTGGAAATGCCTGTGTTCTGTCCTCGTAGCTCAGTGTTACTTTGGCTGGACATAAATTTCTAGAGAGTCATTTTCCCTCAAAATTTTGAAGGCATGATTTCAGCGTTTTCTGGTTTCCATTATTGATGATCATAAGTCTGGTGGCATTCTAATTCTTGTTCTTTTCTCTCCCCCTATCCACCCCGGCCCTGGAAGCTTTGAGGCTCTTCTTTTTAGCCCTAGTGTGCTTTGGATCTTTTTTCATTTATTACGCTGAACACTTGGTAGGACCTTTTTTATCTGGGGGGTTTTTGACCTTCGGTTTTGGAAAATTCTTCTCTCTCACCTCCTTCTCCCCCCCCCCTTCCTGGGGCCAGCTTGCCCACCTACCCTCTCTCCAGTCTGCCTCCCCGCCTCCCTGCCCCTCCATCTCCTGGTCTTCCTCCTCCTGTCTCTTCCTGTTCCTTTTTTCCTGGCTTCCCTCCGTTCTGATAAACCAGTTATCACTTCTCCAAATACTTTATTTTCTGAAAAACTGTTGGAAGCTTTCATTCACTGCCCCTCTACTTCTGTTCTCTTTTCTTCTTGCAAGTTATGCCTTTCTAAGCTTTTTACTCACCTACTATAATTTTTCTGGTGCTTCCAGAATGAAAAGTAACTGCCAGGTTGCCTCAGAAGTAAGATGTCAAGTTGTCTCAGTTTAAGTCTTATTCTCTATGCCTTTCAGAAATGTTTTCAAATTTTTATGTTTGATATTGACACTGTTAACTATTTTTGGAACTTAATGTCAATTCATTTTAATTTTTATATTTCTTCCATACTTCTGTTTACATTTTGGGAGAGGCAAGTAAACATAGGGACTTGGTTGGCTATCTTCAGCTATTTTGAAATAATAGTTTACTTTTAAGATTTAGATCCATTTAAATATCTGTGCCTTTTTTTGTAATAAAATCTTCAGTAGGAGAACTTGTGATAAACTGCAAATACCCTTGACTCTCAGCCTAAATTCTTCTTCACAAACATTTGAAGGTCATGAAGAAGGATATTTCACAGCTATAATGTTGAAGAAATCAAGAGTGAAATTTAAAAGCCAAGAGATTATTCCTTTTCCAGATACAAAAATGATGAGAAACCTTTTGTGTGTGAATGTAAGTAATTTTTTAAAATTGACTTTAAAAAGAAAAAGAATGGGTTTTTAAAAAATATAGTTCCATGATGGTTTCTTTTCTAAAAAACTATTGTCTTTAGACAAATATTTGTTCCTCACTTATAGGTTCTTCGAAATAGTCCTAAAGAACTTTATAAATTAAATTTTTACATGCATTTCAAATATAGACAAATTTGTAAAAATAAATTCTTTGATTCATTAGATGTTTTCTTAATATATAAGTTTGCTAACATTCTATATTCGCTTCCTATAGTAGTTTTTTCATTAAATGCACTGTGCTTGGTACTGCATTGTACTCAGTGAGTCTTACAAAAATGAGTCAAATAGATCTTGCTTTCACAGAATTCATAGATTAGCAGGGCAGAGATTGTATGTATGGTTACTAAAATAAAGGAAAGGCGTAAATGCCATGGGAGAGGTATAATAATGTGCCCTGAAAGTTTAGAGAAAGAAGAGGTGACTTTTAGCTACATTGTTTAGTGGAAGGTTCCTGATGGAAGCTGCATTTGAATTGGGCCCTGAGAAACATTTAAGATGTAGATATTAAGAACCATGCAGGTGGCAGAACCACCATGAGCAAAATTTTGCAAATTACAAATAGCAGGGTATGTATATATGAAACAGGGCATATATAGGTCTAAATCAGCATTCCATTCAGTTGAGTGTGGAGGGCACAAAGAGGGGTAGTGTGATAAGAAGTTGATAAAGTAGGTTGGATCCAGATTATAGGAGATCATGAATGCCCAATATGAAAGAATTTGGACTTGACTCTGTAGGCAGTTAGCTTACATAATGACAGATCCCACATCGTTGGTATCTTAACTGGTAAATGAGTCTCTTTCATTCATTTAACTGACACTATTTTGAGTTACCTGTGTTCCAGGCTCTTGATAATTTGGCAGTAATTAAGAGAACCATCTTTGCTTTCAAAGGACTCATGGCTTTGTAGGAGAGGGATAATTCTGCTGGAATTCAGCCTAGAGGACTTTATAAAGAGCCTTTCCAGTGTGCTATAGGAGGTTAGGGGAGGGAGCCACTGATGCCTGGGGCACTGGGGAAGGGCTCACAGTGGAGTTGACATTCGAAGTAGCTCTTGAAGTATTAGTGGGTACTTGTTCAGTATTGTTTGGGAGCAAGTTTAGCACCATATACTTCTTTGACATATAAGGAAAAGCACAGTGCTGGTTATATAGTTTCTTTTTAGTGAATATCTATCAGTCACTTGAATAATTGTTGATTCTGTTATCAAAGTTCAGCGTTAATGGTGAGTGAATAATCTTAACGATTCTAATTATTTATCCTGTTGCAGGTGAGTGTGTCAGGAAATGAACTCTGCCTTATGACTTCTCATTTGGAGAGCACCAGAGGGCATGCTAAGGAACGAATGAATCAGTTGAAAATTGTTTTAAAGACAATACAGGAGATTCCAGAGTCAGCTACAGTTATATTTGCAGGAGATACGAATTTAAGGGATCAAGAAGTGAGTGATGAGTCAGCTCGGTGTTTATGGGCAGGTTACTGCTGTGGAAACTGATTTAGGTTTCTTTTGATCAAAGCTGTTAAAACCAAGACCTTCATCATAATGTGGAAGTGACCTTGCAGATGCAGTTCAGCAAATAATGATTTGGCCTGTGCTGTGTGCCTAGCACAGGGAAAGCAGGAGCGGAAGGGCTGTTACATTATTGGATGAAAAACATAAATATGGCACATGAAACAGACAACATAAAACAATATGTGTTGATTAACAAGAGGGCTATAGAGAAAATAATGATTAGAAGAGTTTAGAAAACTTCATCAATTTGTGTTCTCTAGTTGCAAGGTGAGAAGAACAGAAAGATTTGACCAGCATAGTTGTCCCTAATTCTCTTCCGTCTTGAGGTTGTTTTTTACCCCCAACCTTTTTTACCTTCATGACATTGGATTTGGCAGTAATTTCTTGGATATGACACCTTCATGCATCAAAGGATATTGTCAGAGTAAAAAGGCAACCTATGGAATGGTAGAAAATATTTGCAAATCACATCTGATGAACAATTAATTTTCAGAATGTACAAAGAACTCTTACAAATAAAAAAAAACAGTAAAAAAAAACTCACTTAGAAATGGGAAAAAGATTTAGGCATTTCTCCAAAGAAGATATAGAAATGGCTAATAAGTACATGAAAAGATGTTCAACATCACTAGTCATTAGAGAAATTCGAATCAAAACCATATTGCGATACCACTGCACATCCACTAGCATGACTGTTACCAAAACAAAACAAAGTAACTGTTGGCACGGATGTGGAGAAATTGGAACCTTTGTGCATTCCTGCTGGGGATTTAAAATGGTATAGCTGCTGTGGACCATGGTGTGGGGATTCCTCCAAAAATTATTACGTATGATCCAGCAATTCTGCTTCTGGGTGAATACCCAAAATAAGTAAAAGCAGAGTCTTGAAGAGATAGTTGTATACCTGTATTCATAGCATTATTCACAATTGATAAAATGTGGAAGCAACCTAAGTGTCAATTGTCACATGACTGGATAAACAAAATGTGTATACTTGAAATGGAATATTATTCAGCCTTTAAAAGGAAGGCAATATTGAATGCTGTAACATGAATGAACCCTGAAGACACTGCTGAGTGAAATAAGCCAGTAATAGAGGGATAGATATTTTTTCATTCCTCTTACGCAGGTATCCTAAAGTAGTCAGATTCATAGAGACAGAAGGTAGAATGGTGGTTGCCAGGGATGGGAAGAGGGTGGAATGGGGAGTTCATGTTTAATGGGTACAGAGTTTCAGTCTGGAAATTGGAAATGTTCTGGAGGTGGATGGTGGTGATGGTTGCACCTTACTGTGAATGTGCTTAATGCCATATGTAACATAAAGTGGTAAATTTTATGTATATTTTATCACAATAATAAAAATTTTTTTAAATCTTGGAATGTGGGAAGAAAAAATGTTAGTAAATTTAAAATAAAACTGAAGGCAGTTGACATTACCGGATCATATAAATGGTATACTTCTAAATGCATAAATTAAAGTAGAATAACAGTTGTGCTGCCTTTGCACTTGTGTTCATTAAAAAAAAAACTAATTTCGGTAACTGAGGCCATGGGTTTTCAGTCTTCTGAGTTTTATCTGACACCCAAAGTTAGGAATCTGTTTATGGCAGAAGAGCAGGGGTAAATTTCAGACCTCTTTGGCTGTCTTGATATTTTTATATTACCTATTTACTATCATGTGGCAAAATATTTTTATAATCTATCTAGTCATATGTAGTTCTACATTTGTGCATTAATAATCTGTGGCATTCTGATTTGAAACGTACTTAGACACAGTAATAGTAAAGACCTTTTTAATTTGAGGGAGAAAGACTTTCTGAAAAGAGCTTTCTTTTTCTTTTCAGGTTACCAAATGTGGTGGTTTACCCAACAACATTTTGGATGTGTGGGAGTTTTTGGGCAAACCTAAGCATTGCCAGTATACATGGGATACACAAATGAACTCTAATCTTGGAATAGCTGCGGCTTGTAAGCTTCGTTTTGATCGAATATTTTTTAGAGCAGCATCAGAAAGTGGCCACATTATTCCCCGAAGCTTGGACCTCCTTGGGTTAGAAAAACTGGACTGTGGTAGATTTCCGAGTGATCACTGGGGTCTTCTGTGCACCTTAGATGTTATATTGTGAAATCTGTTTCAAATACAAGTTTTGAATGTTCTGAGCAATTTTGTTCTGTGTTTTTGCAAATGTAATTTCTACCTATCTGGAAAGGTAGCTTAATATGGAGGAATTAATAAACTGGATCATTGTAACAGAAGAAAAAACTACTGTGATTTTATTTTGTAGATTGTGTCCTCAGATTTCAGAATGAAACCGACATGTGTATTTAAAGCATACCTGTGTTCAGAACATGAGGCCTCTTAGTGAAAGGTCACAGAGGCTGTGAGAGCTGTAACAGTGCTCAGAGCTGCTGACTAGATTCAAGCAGGGCCACATTGTCTCTGGGCTAGCCTTTATATTTGATTTATTTTTTAAATCAGGTAACCAGATACTTAATATTTTAAATAAGTCTTCAGAAATTAAAAAAAAATTTTTTTAATTAAAAAAAATTTACTAAGCCCTTGGGACTGGATCTTTTGATATTTAAGAAAGCCAAGATAGATGAAAAAGCCATGATCATCTGCATTTAAGTAGATTGCAGCTCTGCTACATCAGACTTTATTTTTGTACATGATTGGTAAGCTATGAATGAACTCATGATTTAAAATTGCTTCATTTCAGAAAATTCATGTCTGAAGTTATGTCACCAACAGAGGCAGAGTTAGACTTGATGATTAATGTCAGTTTTACAGTGGCATTGGACTTTTTTTTCCAAGAGAAAAATAAATGTATAAAGAGAAACAGCCTTTTACTTTTGCATCTTGTAAAATTGAATTATTTTACAAAAGGTGAATGAGGAGCACTTCTACATGTGCTTTAAGGAAACATTTTTTTTTCCTATAAGAGACTGTACTTTAAATAAAGAATTATGCTTGTTTATAGTTTGTTTTCATATTTTTGTGCTTACGATGGGATTGAAGTTTTTACCTGCTTCCTGTTTCTGACCGCTGCTACTGCTTCATCTTTGTGTGGAAGAAAACAGCTTTCCACAGTGCTGCTTACCCTGCCAGGTGTTACCAAGACTGCTGACTTCCTCAGTACATAAAAAAAGGAAAGCTAGTTGTAGTAATTACAATGAGAAGAATCTTATTTTCATCAGGGATGTCAAAATTAACAACTAAAACACCTAAAAAAAAGCTGAATTTTTACATGACATTACCTTTGTGGTAATGGGAAAGAGTCTTGTATGTTAATCATAATTTTCATCATTAAAAATAAAATAAGAATTAATGCTAATATTTTAGCATACATTATGGAGGTAGTAGTTCATTTATGTGGGAAAAGGATGTTTTTGGCATAAATTGCTTATTCACTTGGAAGGAAAAAGAACACCACACTTCACATTACAAAAAAAAAAACTAGATGAGTGAAAAGCTAAAAATAAAAATATGTAGTAATGTGTATTAGATTAAACAATTGTCAAATTGTTTCAAAACTGGAAAGGAGTATAATTTCCTTTATGTGACTCAGCATCCAAGAGAAATACCTTCCCACTTAATGCTTATAGTAACAAAATCTAACAAGTTATAAGTGAAGTGATTACGAACAATAAAACTGTTTTTAGCCTGTTTTGATGGGCAGTAGTTCTCAAACAATGCAAGAATTAAAGTATTATGCAGTATCTTGAATTTCTTACTTCGAATCTCAAGTTTTCTGAGTTGTGTGTCTTCCCTTTTTGGTAAAATTCCATCTCAGTATCTTATATTTCAATATGCTAAGCACCATCTTTGCCACTGGTATGAAATATACTTGAACCTTGCTAGACCTCAGTTTCTCCCACCTCCAAATAGGACAGTTCCTTGTCTTTTATTGTGCAGTTTTGTAAGGACAAATTTTCCAGCCAACAGCATATAAACAAGAGCCGACAAAGTCAGAAAAGCTTTACTAAAGATACATCATTTTATCTTTAGTATTTGTTACATCTGGCATATAGCAGAAGCTCAATAAATGCTGAAGAAAAATGAAATATAGTGACCTTACATTTGTGTTCTAGGGAGGCGGATTAACATTTTCATGCAGTATGTATCAAAATAGGTATTTATTATATATATCAAAATATTCATTTCTGGCTCTAAGTTGAAATGTCAAGGTTTAACATTCTAGGCTAAGCTTATATATGTATATGCTTACATATATAATATATTTAAATATTTTAAGCCCATATAACTTTATTTATTTAGACTCCTGGGAGTAGGCCTGTTGTCTGACTAAATCAGATCTATTGATGCAGTGGGAAAGGACACCTTGGAGGCACCGGGGAATGCCAGGTGAGAATAGAAAAGAGAAAAGTGTCTTTTGTAAGTTGTTTTACAGCTGCTAAATGACTTTGGGAGAAATATCATTTCCTGTTAATTTTGCTTCTGGCTTTATCTGCATCTCCTCCCAGCCTGATCAATGGGCAGGGTTGCCTTTTTCTTTTTAGCCTAAACTGATTTGCTCTCTTTCAGTCCTGGGCGGGTTTTATGCCTTCAGTGTGAATTCTGTTTTAAGCCCCACAATCATCCTAAAAGAATACTGTTACTATCTCCATTTTAAAATTAAGGAAACTGAGGTTAAGCAGGATTATGTACTCCTCCAAGGCCCATCCATAGCTAGTGAGGAGCCTAGTAGGGGCCTATTCAACGGTCTCTGTGACTTGGTCCTAAGCACTGCACTATACCTCATAGTAAGGGAATGCGCAGTGAATGCCCTGGCTTCCTTTTGTGCACCATGTTAGCAGCCCTAGATGCTTGAGCATCTTATAAGAAAACAGTACAAATGCAAGGACAAGCCTTCCACATGAGTTTCCTATTGTTCAAATGATCACCTTCCCATACATGCAAATGTAATCGAAATACTTTGGGCACCTGGTTAACCTAGAAACCGTGGAGTTGGTCTGGGTGCCTTCTAGCACCTGTTTTTTATCCTCATTCAGAAAGCACACATGCTCAAAACAGCCTAAAGAGGCTCCCACTGGAGGAGTGGGACTTGTGCGTGTAGAGTGACTTTGCTTCGGGGTACATATGCAAAGGGTCTTTGACCCTAGTAGTGTGATCAAGGCTCCCTTGAGTTACCCTGGCCAGGGAATTTGAAAGGGACGCTTCTCCCCCAGGCTGTTTAGGATCACGGTGACCAGGAAGGCGTTGGTAAGAAAAGGAGGTGGGGCATGCAGGCCGCCCTGCTTCTCGAGAGACTTTGCTTGTTCCCCTGAGAAGTGGGAGTCCATGGTCTGGATGCCCATCTTTAGAGCGCGAGCTACGAGCTGGAAGCTGGGCAAGGACGGCCGCCTGCCCATCCCGGGGGACGCGTGTGCGCGTGCGCGCGCGTCGCCGTGGTAACCACGCAGCGGAAAGGCGCTGAATCACAGGCGCGCGCTTTCCCAGCGCAAGCTGAAGCTGCAGCCGGGGTCAGGCAGGGGCCCTCCCGTTGCATCCTTACTAGACCGGCGCTGACCCTGGCAGGCCTAGCTGGCCCGGTGCAGAGGAGCGGTGGCCACAATCACTGTCACTGCTGGAGGTAAGAGCGCAGCAGTAGCCTAAACCTGTCTCCGGTTTGGGCATGAGTCTCTCCTCTGGGGCTGTATCCTGGGGAGGAGAAAGCGAGGGTTTTGCTTGGATGGGGCGGTACCTCCTCCCTGACAGAAGATGCGCGTGCCAGTGTGTGGAAGAGTGACTGTGTGTGTGTGTGTGTGTGTGGCGGGGAGATGACGAGCAGGATCAGGTGGGACGGCCAGCTGCACCGACTAGGGCGAGCTTCAGCCTGGCCAGCAGCGACCTCAGGTACAGTATCCCACTTCCCAACCCGGCTGGCCAAATGGCCAAATGATAGGAAGGGAGGGCAGCAAGTCGGCAGGTTATGCAAAAGAAAAATAAAATCAAGACGCCCTGAGTTAGGAGGTGAACGTCTTAAGGTTCTTCTGCATATCTAGGAAAGGGCATTTCTTGATTACTGCACTAATTGATTGTTTTTTAGTAGGGTGGAGTCAGGAAATCTGCATCTTTTCCCAATGTCACTAATTGCATTTCATAGACCTGTAGAATCGGTTTTCCTTAAACTGCGTTTAGAAACATTTATGTGATCTTTGCTGTCATTTGCTAAATTCATTTTATCTCTGAACCTTACCATAATCTGAAGCTTAAAACCTCTTAATGGCTTTTTTCTCCTTCCCTTTGAACTTCCTCCACAGAATGAACATTAATCAAGATATTTTAATCAAGAGCATAAACCTAAGATTATGAATGTCATCATTTATTTTCTTAATTATATGGAGAGAGAAAAAGTATGATATACACACTCATATCCATTTTTATTGCTAGATTTCTCATCTAAACATTTTGGTTTGTGGGTTAATATTAGTTGTTTTTCCAGAGCTTAAATAGAAAAATTGGATGATATTTTTGATGATGATAATAGAAAAAGTAAATTTTAGACAACCGCCCCCCCAACAAACAAGAATTTTTGAAGGGAATTTTAGTGTTTGTTTATTTCTTTATTCCTGAAATGTATACTCGCTGTCCAAATGCTTCAAACTGTTTATTATAAGAAGACCACAATCTGGAAGACTACTAAAATTATTTCAAATGTAAAATTTTATTTGGTGCTTGTTTTACATAAATTTTCATACAAATAAGGAAAACTGGAGATCTCAATTCAGCTCTAGACTTAGGAGGCGTAAAGAAAGCTGAATTCCTCTGTAATTTTTTTTTTTACTCTTAAAATTTTGTTTTTAATTTTGGGGGGAGGTAATTAGATTTTTTTTTTTTTAATGGAGGTACTAGGGGTTGAACTCAGGACCTTGTGCATGCTAAGCACGCACTCTACCACTGAGCTATGCTCCCCCTACCAATTCCTCTGTAATTTGAAACAGAAATATAAATATATAAAGACTTTTTAGAACCATAGGTGATAGAAAGATTAATGTTTGCCACTTAAAATACCAAGGGAGGGACTTAATTTCCTCTCAGAATAATAAAAATAATTCAGCTAAAATCTTTATGTATTAGTCATAGTCAAAAGAGAGCTTCAATAATTTATTAATGTAAAAGAATGGATTTACTGTTGACTTTTCTTGACTTAATTTTTTTTTCCCTAGCCAAATAGAGAAGGATTTTCTTCAAATAAATATGTAGAACCAGGCATGACTGTTTTGGGGCAGGGATATAGATCACCAGCTCAGATAGCCTGGGTTTTGTCATGGCTCTGCTCTTGGTGGCTGTGTCACATTTGTCAAATTACTTAATTCCTCTTAGCCTCAGTTTCTTCATCTGTAAAATAGGGATAATATAGGACCGACTTAATGGAATCCCTATAAGAATTAAATAAAACAATATGTGTAAGAGCTCTCTGCTTATTGCCTTGAATGCAATAGCACTTCAATAAAATTTAGTTGCTACTATTCTTGGGTTGTTTTCTTTTCAGGAAACACTTTCTATGTCTTCAAATTAATTTGGCACTAAAAGTAGAAT